ACATTGACGATTCATCTTAGATATACCAATATCTATGCATCTTGAAATAAAGAGCGAGTCAAGAGTTAGGTGTTTCATTTAAGAAAAAGTATCTAGAAAGTTTTATCCATCAAACATTAAGTAGATGATCCAAATATTAACCCATCGATAATTTATTGGAGTTTAGTTTATAGTGATAGAAGATAAGATTTTCCTAACTATATGAGAAAATTTCTCATTCTGTTGAGGAAAATCCTCTATTCTGTTAGGGAAATCCTTCCTCCTAATTTGTATAAATAGGAGAGGGAACATGTTAATAGATTTAAGCTAAAGCTATTTCATTTCTACAATAAAGCTTCATTCAATATTTGTTCTTATCTTCTATTATTTCTATCATGGTATCAGAGCCGCTTGCCTAGAGCAAGCTCTCTTCTCGCTGCCAATTCATCATTGGTGTTGCCGCTCAGCGCCAACGTCCGTTCCCTTCTGCTACGGCATCTCTAGTGCTGCTCATCAGCACTGCCCCACCTTTCTTCGTCGTTATAGCTATTTTCCTTCCTCTTCTGCTACAGTTTCCTCTTCTACTACAGCTTCCTCCTCTGTTGCAGTTTCCTCCTTTGCTGTAGTAGCATCACTGCAACATTGCTGTAGATTTCTTCTCTACCGTCGCAGCCGTCGTAATCGCAACCACGACCAACGTCGTTGAGAAAAGCGAAGCTTCGCTCTTGCCTTCAGCCAGCGACCAACGTCGCTGAGAAAAGTGAAGCTTCATCCTTCGGCCAGCGATCAACGCCGTTGCATTCCTAAGAGGCTCTGTGGTCAATCCTCATCTTCCTCACCGCGGTAGTCTTCGCTGATCTGTCAACATTCGGCAGATTTAAGGAGAATGAAGGGAACGCCTGTGCCATCACAGCAACAGCAATCGCAGTAGCAGCAGCAGCGATCTACACTTATCTTACTCATGAAGCCTCTCGCTTGTAAACAATTCTTTGCATCGATACAAGATTGGTATCCTTGTCAGGAGCACCATCTTGCGGGGGCATGATAGAAGATAAGATTTTCCTAACTATATGAGAAAATTTCTCATTCTGTTGAGGAAAATCCTCTATTCTGTTAGGGAAATCCTTCCTCCTAATTTGTATAAATAGGAGAGGGAACATGTTAATAGATTTAAGCTAAAGCTATTTCATTTCTACAATAAAGCTTCATTCAATATTTGTTCTTATCTTCTATTATTTCTATCATATAGTAGCAATAACCTCCATATGATTTGCCTAAATAATTTGTGAGAGGACCCAAGATGGAAGTATTTTACTATTTTTTATTTTTTTATAATGATTTACTTTTTTTTTTTTGCTCCTCTTTTGTTATTGGATCCCATCTCTTCCAAAACATATTGTGGCCCGCTATTATTATAGCGTCTCGCAGTCTATTTATACCTCCAATCCTCTCCGATCGCCTTCACGCTCGACTAATGTCACTTATGGGCGAACCCCGTAGCTCCTCTTACATCCTCCTCCACCTCGCCATTGTCGTCGCCGCCGCCCTCGTACGGGGCGGAGGTGCCGCTACCAATGCAGCGTTCGCCTGCGGGGCGGGGAGCCCTGCGGCGGGGCTGCCGTTCTGCCAGCGGGGTCAGCCGATCCGGGCCAGGGCGCGGGACCTGGTCGGCCGGTTGACGGTGGCGGAGAAGGTGGCGCTGCTGGTGAACACCGCGGCGGGGGTGCCGCGGCTGGGCATCCCCGGGTACCAGTGGTGGTCGGAGGCGCTGCACGGGGTGTCCAACTCCGGGCCCGGCGTCCGCTTCGGCGGCGCCTTCCCTGGCGCCACCAGCTTCCCCCAGGTCATCTCCTCCGCCGCCTCCTTCAATGCCACTCTCTGGGAGCTCATGGGTCAGGTCCGTACTCCTCCCCCCCCCGCCCCTCGTTCTTCTACTTCCATACTCTCTCATCACCTGGCCGGCAACGGCGCCGACACCCGTGCAATGGCAACAATGCCATTAACCACCGACTTGTCATTCCAACCTTTTCTTCTTTCTCTTTGCCTTGGTAAAGCCAGTGAACATTGTCTTTACCCCAAAGGCTTTTCTCAAGAATATTGTAGCTTAACATGCAAGTCTATGTCACTCCATAGTTTCCTTTATGAATAGGAGGAACACCCGAGTTAAACTTGAGAAGCTGAGCTGCCAACTTACGCTGTCAGCTTCCTCTTCCTCTATTTGTCCAAAGCTCAATTATTGTTTGTGGAATCTGGCCATCCAAGTTACCCCCGTGGACGAAGACAATAATAGGATGAAAGCTGGAGGAAGCATCGGTTCATGGGCAGGCCTATATGTGTTTCCTACTGCAAACTTGATATGTCACAGATATAGATCAGACGTGGTGATGTGATGCATTCAAGTCGCAGCTATCTTCCAATTCTTCCTCACAAACCACTGTCCCATTGTAGGGTTGGCCACTGAGGAGAAGGCCATGTGAGTTGGGTGCTGTAAAGACATGATTGGAGAGGGATGAGCGTTAGGTGGAGCTCCAGTTTTCCTTCCTGACTTTTGCGGTGGATTTAGTAACCACCACAGCAAATTTAACTCACGCTTCAACTCTTGATCCAAGTCCATTAACTGCCTTTTAACTGTCCCTATCCTTTGTTGTCGGTGGCCGATGTGTTGCTCTCCATTCTCCTCTTCACTCTCTTTGGTCGCTGTGTACGTTGCCCACAGCAATCTAATGTGATGACTGCTACTACTACTACTAATCTGAGGCAGGTTGTGTCGGACGAGGCTCGGGCCATGTACAACGGAGGCCAAGCCGGGCTGACGTTTTGGAGCCCCAACGTGAACATATACAGGGACCCACGGTGGGGCCGCGGCCAGGAGACCCCCGGCGAAGACCCCGCCGTGTCCGCCCGCTACGCTGCCGCCTACGTCCGCGGCCTCCAACAAGCAAACGGCGGCACCAGCCATGCCCGCCTCAAGGTCGCTGCCTGCTGCAAGCACTACACCGCCTACGACCTCGACAACTGGAAGGGGGTCGACCGCTTCCACTTCAATGCCAAGGCACGCTCTTGTCGCTAATATTGCTGTTGCTGTGTCGTACCTTCCTCCACTGCTTTCTTCTTCATCTGACCGACCGTGTGGGTTTGACAGGTGAGCAAGCAAGACTTGGAGGACACGTACGATGTTCCCTTCAAGGCTTGTGTGGTGGAAGGGAAGGTGGCGAGTGTGATGTGCTCCTACAACCAAGTCAATGGAGTCCCCAGTTGTGCAGATTCGAACCTTCTTCGCCACACGGTTCGTGGCCAATGGAGGCTCAATGGGTCAGTCAGCATCATCATCATCATCATCAGAAGCCAATCAAATCAAATGCCTGTTACATAGAAAGCTAATGGGAACACTCTTCTTCATCTGGTTGTATAGGTACATCGTCTCCGACTGTGACTCCGTTGGTGTCTTCTATAGCGCACAGCATTACACCTCCACCCCTGAGGATGCAGTTGCATATGCACTCAAAGCAGGTAGATATGCTACTAGAGTTAGATTAGCCCATTTTATTGTCAGCTATGTTATGTTAATTACCTGATGTTCTTATGTTTCAGGATTGGATCTGGATTGTGGGCAATTCTTGGCACAGCATACTGAGAGTGCCTTGAAGCAAGGCAAGGTAAGTGAAGCCGACGTCGACGCCGCGTTGACCCACACGGTCGCCGTGCAGATGCGGCTGGGGATGTTCGACGGCGAGCCGTCGCAGCAGCCGTTCGGCAACCTCGGTCCACAACACGTGTGCACCCAGGCCCATCGGAACCTCGCCCTCGAGGCAGCCCGGCAAGCCATGGTGTTGCTCAAGAACGATGCCGGCACCTTGCCGCTGTCGCCGTCTCGCCTTCGAACCGTTGCCGTCGTCGGTCCCAACTCGGATGCCACGGTCACCATGATCGGAAACTATGCCGGTGTTCCTTGTGCCTACACGAGCCCTCTTAAAGGGATCGGTGGGTACGTGGACACCGTACACCAGGTCGGCTGCAATAACGTGGCTTGCAGCGGAGAGCAGCCCATCGGAGCAGCAGTGGAAGCCGCCCGCCGGGCGGACGCCGCAATTGTGGTGGTGGGTCTGGATCAATCCATCGAGTCCGAGGGGCGGGACAGGGTGGGGCTCCTCCTCCCTGGCCGGCAACAGGAGCTGGTGTCGGAGGTGGCGAAAGCCTGCCGGGGCCCGACGGTGCTGGTGCTCATGTGCGGCGGGCCGGTCGACGTGTCGTTCGCCAAGGACGACCCAAACATCGCAGCCATTCTATGGGCGGGGTACCCTGGCCAAGCCGGCGGAACGGCCATCGCCGAAGTGATTTTTGGCGCACACAATCCAGGTACTAACCACCAACACTACACTTAAATATTCCATCTTTATGTGCTAATCGCTTATTTTCGGCGTGTAATTTTTTGTGGCACTGTTTTACTAGGTGGTAAATTGCCGGTGACGTGGTACCCCCAGGAGTACGTGGAGAAAGTGACGATGACCAACATGGCCATGCGAGCCGACCCGTCGACAGGCTACCCGGGCAGGACGTATCGGTTCTACGATGGACCGGTCGTGTACTCCTTCGGCCACGGCCTGAGCTACACCAAATTCACCCACGCCCTGGCCGACACCCCGGCCCAAGTCTCGGTCCCGTTTGATGGGCTACGAGCGGAACCATTATTCAACGCGAGCGAGCCGGGCCGAACGGTCCCGGTCACCCACGCACGGTGCGACGGCCTCTCCGTCCCCGTTCACGTAGACGTGACGAACGCTGGCGATCGCGACGGGTCCCACACGGTGCTCGTGTACTGGAGGCCGCCGGCAGCGGACGGTGCCCCCAGTAAGCAACTGGTGGCCTTCGAGAAGGTACACCTCGCCGCCGGGGAGCAGGTGAGGGTCCTCCTGGGCGTGGACGTGTGCAGGGATCTCACCGTGGCTGACGGTGACGGCATCCGGCGGATTCCACTGGGCGAGCACAGCCTTCATGTAGGCGATCTGACGCACACCATCTCGTTGCAGGCCGAATCTCTGCGTCGATAGGAGCTGCAATAAAAAAGTAAGAATAAGACGTAGGATTGCTTCGTCAACAAAGCTCGTATAGACAGTAGTAGCGCCCTTTGAATTTGTGGGATCTCTGTACTGATCAATGCTCTCAAAGATGGAGGGCAAAGATCAGAAGACGGATGTTCTGATTATTCATGCGGATTGAAGAATAAGAGTTCGCACAAGATAACGTGCTAGTGGTGTTCGACGAAAGGTTTCTTGTTGTAAGTCGATTAATCTCAATAAATATATGTTTACCAGAAGAGTTCGGACCGAAAAATCCTCTTCTTCCGCTGCTTCTGATTGTAACTCGTTTGCCGCCTGGTTTTGTCCACAAGATAGGCAGTGGGGCAATCGCAAGCTCCACCAATTGAACGAAGAACTTCGTCTTCTCCAGTTTGAGTTCTTCCTCAGCCGCATTCTGAGCCTACAAGATTCCGCCCTGGCGCCTTCTGCACGCTATTCCCCTTCATCAACCTCCTCACTTCCTCCGCAGCCTCCCATCGTCCCATCTCCGCATAAAGATTGGCCAACAGCACGTAGTTCCCCGAATTCCATGGCTCAAGCTCAATAAGCTCCTTGGCGGCCACCTCTGCAACGCGAACCTCCCGGTGGTTTCTGCACGCACTAAAGCAACGCGCCCTAAATGGCGGCGTTCGGCCTCATAGACATACTCCTGATCAAGTCATGAGCCTCTTCGACATGGCCGCACCTCCCCAAGAGGTCCACCATGCTGCCGTAATGCTCGTGCCACGGCTGGATTCCACGCTCAGCAAGCATCGAGCGGAACAACTCTCGACCCTTGTCTACCCAGCCACCATGAGTGCAGCAGCCGAGAGCTCCCATGAACGTTCCGGCGTTGGGCTTCTCGCCTCTCCTCATCACTTCATCGAACAAATCAAGGCCGATTGACCGCACTCTTCCTGGGCATCTGGTCGAAAACCGATTTAGCGCTGGCCAAATCCCCGCATTTGCAGTACATGTCGATGATTGAGTTCCCGACGTGCACGGCGTCCTTCAACAATCCTTTTCTTTCGGCATAGCGATGTATTTTACTCCCGACATCGCAGTTACCCGACCGAGCGCAGACCGGCAACACTGCGGCCAATGTGGCGTCGTCGGGTTCAAACCCGGAGTAGTCCCACATCTCCTGGAAAAACTGCAATGCGACGGCGTCTCTGCCACGACGGGCGAAGCCGGCAATCATGGAATTCCAAGTGACCACGCTCCTCTCGCTCATCCATCTAAAGAGGCCAATCGCGCTTTCCACGTCGCCTCTTCGGCAGAAGCCATTGATCATTAGATTCCACGCGATGATATCTCTGCGTGGCATTTCGTCGAAAAAGTTTTGGGCGTCGAACCTGTGACCAGAGGCAGCGTAAAGTTCAATGACCCCGACAGCGACGGGAGGGTGAGAAGCGAATCCCGAGGACAGGGTGAGGGCGTGTAGAGATCGGGCGAGGCGTAGGTCGGCGAGGTGGGTGGCGGCCTTGAGGAGGGGCGCGAGTGTGAGGCGGTCGGGGAAGAGGGAGCGGGAGCGGAGGGAGAAGAGGCGGAAAGCGTCCGCGGCGGAGGCAGCGACGAGGGAGAGGACCTTGATGGCGGCGCCGAAGAGGAGGAGGGAGGCGGAAGAAAGATGGCGGAAGAGGCGCAGAGCGTAGGAGGGGCGTCGGGCGGCGGCGCAGGTGGAGACGAGGTCGGAGCCGTGGGGATGGTGGTGGAGGATGTGGGCGTGGATCTTGGTGAGGCGGACACGGGTATCGCGATCGTGCAGGAGGCGGAGCACGCGCCGCTTCGCCCCACGGTTCTCTCTACTGGTCATCACTTGCGGTTAAGCAAGCAGCTCATTCCTCTTTCAACCTGCGTCACAGCTATTTGGAACGTGTTGCTGGCAAAGACGTGATAGTTTATATTTTAATTTTAATTTTTTTTATTTATCTTTAAAATATTATTTTACTTTATATAAATAAAAAAATCTTTTCTTTCATAAATTCTTATCCACCATTGTCGTTGTCTCGTCTTTTCCGATCTCTGAAAAAGACATATATCTCTAAAACATTTTCTTTCTCACTATAAGCGGATAAGAGACGAGAGTGCAACATACGAGGATGAGTGAAAGGAGGTCGTTAAGGCCTCCTTCGTCTTATCATCCCTATCATTTTCATTGTTAACATCAATAATCGTTTTCATTGTTAATCTCGGCGAAGGCCCAACAACAAAGGTTTGGATGACAATGACATTGATTCATTGCTGGGTGATACCGATGTTATTAATAAAAGATAGGATCTTACTAATAATTGTAATAAAAAAAGTGAGGAAGGAAAGGTGAAAACGATAATGAAGAAGAGGTCGAAGAAACAAAAGAGAAGAGGCAAGAGCCTCGTAGTAACTTGGTGGTAAAAAGCAATGTATCTTTTCCAAAGATACGGTATTAAAAATTTATAAAAATAAAAGGTTTTTTTTAGAATTTACTCATATATAATATATATAAAGCAAAAATAGTTAATATTTTTGAACTAAAAAAAAAATATTTTTGAACCATACTAACCTATGCAGAGCATATTTCTAAAAACAATAATTTTCAACAATACCAACCGATGCCACTCAAAAAGGACGAGTGAAATTGCTTATTATATTGAATTTCATAAACACTAGCCATCAGACAAGACCTAAATTCAAAGAAAATTTCTTCTACAAGAGAAAGGTGTAGAATTTCTTTAAGGTGCTAAAGGTCTAACCATATAAAAACAGCAAGCACTTGAAAGATTACTTTTAAATTTCAAGATTCACTTATAAGCATGCATATAAAGGGACCGTATAAAATGTCTGCACAAATATCAGTAAAAAATTCACTCGATTCGTACAAAGTCCTTAGAAGCAATGATACTCCTTCCTCCTTAGGATAGCATACAATCTTCTAAGAGATCATATTAAAGACCTTAGGATCTTCTCCTATCTAAAAAAAAATGAGCCGTAAATTGCTCAAGTTAATACCTTTTTAAGGGAAGTAGAACAGAAGAGCATCAGTACATAGTTTTGTCAAAAACTATCTCGAGGAGTTCAAACCTGACTCACATATGTTAGATGACGTTTCAAATTAAATTTTAAATATTGGTTTGATGCAAAGGATAACTAGCAAATGAAAGAATTCAAATGACACTGAGCAAATGGTTTAACAAAAGATATACAATTAGAATGGCATCAAGAGCAAATGAAAGAATTGATTCTTTGACTAAAGCTGCAAAAAAATAAAAAGTCAAGCTCATTTCCTGCTAGTAATAGAAGATTACATCAACTATCACTTCATCCGATTGATAGTTTTCCTTGTTGCCAAGGAACCAGAGAGATTAAATAGCATTTCAAATGATCGTCTTCCTCTCTAAGCTTACGTCTCACTGTCGAAAAAATAGTCGAGGAGAAGCAGGGAACCGAACAAAATTACAAATGATAGCCCTTCCAAGAACCATTTGGATGGGTTCATCGTGATACAAGGGTATTGTAATGTTTCTATCATGCCAAGAATGTTAAAGACTTTAAGAAAGAACAGACTTTATCTTGTTCTTCTGGTCTTCAGTCAGAGACTTGGGGAACAAAACTTCGAAAGTGACATACAAATCCCCCCTCTTTGTACTTAGGTGCAGTGGCATTCCTTCGCCTTTAAACTTCCTCACCTCTTTAGGCTTAGTAATTCCCTGAAAAAGGAAATCACCAAATCCATTTGAAATGACGAAAAGTACTTGGGAATGAACAAACTTTCAAATTGACGATGATGACATGACTGTTTAACTCACCTTGGTGCCTATTTCCAACGGATGCTCATCAAGATGTTCGATAGTTTTCTCAAAACCCACAAGTGCTTGAAGCTGAAAGAGAAGCTGGAGTTGTTAGTGAATTTAATAATTAAAAAAAGAGAACAAAAATAAATTCTGATATAACACCCATGACAGCACCCAGGATTGCAACTTGTATGAACAAGTATATTTAGGGAGTATCAACTTAATGTTTCTTTTTTGATATATTGTATAATTTTGAATGGCAACTCTACATGTCCTCAGTGTCTAGTCGCAACATAACAGCTAAAGGCATGATGTTTGAGAATATTAAAGGCAACGATGATAGCGGCTACTAACAATTTGTGGGTCGTGTACTGCTCCAGGAAAGCTTTAAAGGATAAAATTGACGACAGCATTAAAATTTCTAGTAACAAACAAATTTAAAACACTGATAAGGCTCAACAGAAGCCTTAACTATTACAAGATACAAGAATGCTAACTGCCAGAGATGGATTTGATCAATAAAAGGAGCTTCAAGATGAATAAAAATATGGAAGACTCGAAAATGAGTAAGGCTTTGCAATTTATTGTGCTGAAGGTTCTCAATAGTATGCAGGAAAAGAAGAGTGCTCTTAGTCATCATCAGATGAAGGATGACAAGCCAGATTAAGCCACTTTCCTGTGAAAGAAATCTAAATGGCAACAGCTTATGTAATAATCTAAATGACGACAACTTATGCTGAATCAGAAAGTAGGAACTTTGAAGTACAGCCATAAACCACAGTGGTCATGGTGGTAAACTCATGCAACACTGATATGAAGAAACTAGACGAGAGGAATTACCAGTGAAATGGTCACAGTAGTATGCAAATCATTGCCTTCCCTTCTAAAGCGCTCATGGGGTGCTGTTCGAATTCTAAACTGCTCAGAACAATGACTGGCTTCAGAAAGAAGTTAACTAAAACTATTGACATAATTTTCAATGAAATATATGAAAAACCTTCAAATCTCCAGCTTCTCCATCGATTTTAGGTTCCCCATCCTCATAAAATAGCACATCCTGTCGTAGGATCCAGAATTTAGGAATGAGTTAGAAAGCTACATGAATTTTAGAGATTCAACACAAAGGTGGTTGAACAGAAAAATTCTATCAACCATAACCAAAATAGGGAAACAAACTCGAAAGACTCCAGAAAAATCTAGCAAATGCTGAACATTTTGTATTGAATTTTAATACAATTCAATCCAGAAACAAGTAGAGTTCTAAACAAAGATAAGCACGAAAAACTCTGCACTTGATGTATTCTAACTATAATAAATACTACAGTTAAATCAGAGAAAGGCCAGCTTTAGGAAGTCTTACAGTAACAAGAATAGCAAGCCCAAAATAGTGCAGCTACTAAGAATTGCTCAGCTAATAGTATCCATAATACCAAAGCCAATATCAAATTTGGCAGCTTACTTGCCCATCTTGCATCCCCTTCTCGATATCAACTGTAATGAAATAACCTTCTCGCTCGTACTTCACATTTGGGCATTGCTCACAAACCTGAGACAAGAAGATATAATCTTAATACAAGATACCAAAATTTCTGTAAATTCTTACACAAAGACAGGAATGCTCAATCAGCAAGTTCTCAGTAATGCAAGTAAGAAATACTCATCCCCGTGTTGAGAAATCTAAAGATAGTAAATATTTCAGGGTATTCTTATTGACATGGAACAATTACTTGCTCTGTCATCTGCTGAAACATTCCTGGAGCAATTTGCCTGTGATATACTTCGTTTCTGCAGTTACAGCGTCTTTTTCCTGGGGCTGGCTTTATGACATTTTTTTCCCTCCAAACCTGATTAATATCACACCAAAGGAGAAAAATAACATAAAATCAGGAAAGTTGCACCACAAGATTGCCTCAAGAATCTATTCACCTACAAGCTATCCTAGATGATCCAAAGTCAATATAGCTGAAATAGTTCATTGCAGATCTCCAAAACAAGGAAACAGGGAAGGAAAGCTAAAAAACCAAAGAACATCATGCAAAACTAGTTACTACAGGTTGTTACCTATTAAAGAGTGTTTGAAGTATTTAGTCAACCAGAAAGTTATCAATGGTTCATAGAGTTGGCAAAGTAGAAACCAAAGGAAAACCCAATCCCATTACCTTCAATGAACCTCCCATGTATAAATCTTCCAGTGTTGCGTCCAATTCAATGATTACATCATCACCTTTCGGTATTGATTCCTCCTGGTCTTCTTGGTGACCAGTTCCAAAGAATCTAGTAAGACAAAGATGTGAGCGGAACTTGAGACTTGAATTTTAGTCCAATACAAAAGATTCAAGAAGAAAAATGCACCCAAATAAACCAACAGAGAAAAACATAAACTTGTTTCCCAGGACACTGCATACAGTAAACGAGATGGCTCAAAGCACAAATCAGAAAAATAGCAGGCTAAAATCAGCATAGGAACAGCTGCAAACCAACAATTGGTAAAAAAGCAAGTAGAAACTAACAGAACAAACAAACATGGATCATATGCTTTTAAGTTGCCAATTGATATTGCCAGTAGTGAACTGAAAATCTTTTAGCTTTCTGCACGTTGCAGTCAGGTTTGCCAATTTCAATAGGTCCAGATGTAAACCAACCTACAAGTTATCATTTGGTAGTGTAAACTATAAAAAGCAAATTTGACAGACACAGTCATTTGCCAAACAGAAAACCAAAGTCACGAGGACCAGCAGCAATAGTTTGTACCTTGAAACCAAGATACGACACCTTGTTGTTAAGTCATTTCAAGTAAAAGTTTGTGGAATTGAAAATGCAGCGACAGTTTTTTGTCTTGCTTGAGCAAGAAACAATACCAATTAACATGAGAAAACAAAAAATATACACAGTGAAGTTGAAGACACCTGAAACTATGAATGATCAGAATCTAACATACTTATCATTCATCCCATCAGATCTGTGGTTCATAATGCTTACCCTCCAAACACACACAAAATTAATACTAGCAGAGAACTTAAAAACATTATATATAATAGATTCATATCAGAGCTCCTTATTCATCCTACTAATAGTTCTTAAATATGAACTATGAAGAATGATACGGGAAAAATGTTACATAATTATGATGTTAGCTTGTTACTTCATAGGCAAATTGTGGACACTATATGGATAGATGATCTGTATCAAAGTGCTCACTCTTGTTTTCACAAGGCTGATTAAGACATTTCAAATTATTGCACTTTATTGCTTATTTAGAATTCGTAACATAACCAATTTTTTATCATAACTCCAATGGAGTTTGCAACTTAAGTATTCTCGATCAAGTTACTACAGAAGGCTGGAGCAAGAACAGATAAATTCTTGATTTGATCAAAAGCTCCTGCTGGTCCATTCAGAAAGCTCTTAATGCCGTGGACAAGATTGGTCGATTTGATCAAGTTGAAAAGGGGAGTTCATATTATCTAGCAGATGAGCAACCAAAGAAGTAACAGACAGCTGAAGCCCAAATATGACTTTAAAGGTCATAGTCATTTGTGTTTGCATAGAATGACTACAGAAATTATATAGAATGAGAAAAAGGATCTATTGCAGAAAAAAAGGACAAGAAAAACCTCTTACTCATTAAATATGTCTTGGATGTTCATCCCTGGGCCTCTTCCACCGCCAGCAGCATGCTGCTTAAGGCCCTCTTCTCCATACCGATCATATATATTCCTCTTCTCCGAATCCGAGAGCACTTCATATGCTGATAACGACGTATCAAAAAAGAAAGAAACGAACGCAAAACAAAAATTTGAGTATAATAGAGTATAGTTCGTGCTCTAGCGTAAAGAAAAGAGTTAATCATGTCCAGTTTCAGTAAAGAAAACTGATCGAAATCGCTACCATTGTTGATCTCTGCAAATCTCTTGTTGGCCTCCTCATTTCCCTGGTTCTTATCCGGATGGTACTTCAGAGCCAGCTTCCGGTAAGCCCTCTTGATCTGCTCATCGGAAGCACCCTTTGAAACTTGCAATACATCGTAATAGCTCTTCCTAAACGAAGCCACCCATCCGAAAAACCAAGAAAACTCAGTAAAATAATTTAGAAAGCTTCAAGTGCCAATCATTCGACGAAGCCCACTCTACAAGGACCAAATCGTACCCTCCGAGAACGCAGAGAACGTGGGACAGAAGGAAGACGAAAAGGAGGAGCCCCCGCCTCACAGAAGGCGCCATGGGATCTGAGGCACCTGCGATTAGCATCTGGATTCCTCAGAAGCAGGACCCAATCGAGGATTTTGGATTGTGAATCGACAAATGAGGGGTGAAATTTAGGGTTCGGAGGTGGAATCGAGTCTGCCGGTCGGACCGGATCGTCTACCTCTGCGTGGGAACGGCTTTCTTTTCCGCTCCTTTTCCTCCACATTTTAAGTGGGAGTGTCAACGTGATGGTCTTCGGAAACGTGGTTCGACCGAAGCGGGCCAATGCGATGGGAGGGATTTGGTGTTCGAACGAATAGAAAAGGAACACGTGTTATTATTCCACCTTCCGTTACGTTCTCCGCGGGGCAAGGTAGGCGAGAGGTGGTCACTATTCATTCAATCGAAAGCGTGTTTCGTGCTCGGTAGGTACTACGGGATTTAAGTATTCCACACTACCGCACAGCTTTTATGGGCGTTATCGGGTCATATCGGAGCCGACACAAGAAAGGATCCGAAATCGAATCTGATGAGCTCATGACGGGAAATCCAAACCATTAGTGTTGGTATTTTCCAAATTTTGATGATTTCTCTCTAATTTTTTGGTTCATTTTTTGCGTAAAAAATGTTTCTTTATTATTAACGATCATTTTTCACCACAAATCAGATCGGACGGTCATATCGGCATCCAGTGACGAGCCTCAAATATTATGGCCGTTGGATCTACCAGTCCGTCGCATCTCGCAGTTAGTACTTGGATCTCGACAAAGCCCTCGCCGCCTCTTGCTTTCTTATAACCCCGACGAGCAATCGGAGGAAGAAGAGGACACTGCGTTCTTGGAACAGAGAACAGAGGAGAGAGAGATGGAGAGATCTCAGATCTGGTTTGCTGTCGGAACCCTAACCATGGGTCTGCTCTTTGCCTCCGCCCTCGCTGACGGCGACGTCGTCGTCCTCACTGAGGCCAACTTCGAGAAGGAGGTTGGCCAGGATCGCGGCGCCCTCGTCGAGTTCTACGCGCCTTGGTACCTCCGAAGCCTTCACTTCTCGATGAGTGCTGTTTTTCTTCTTGTTTCTCCTTGATCGGTGAATCTGCTTGAGTTTTCGCAGCCATTCAATTCTTTCTGAAGAGTATTTGATCGGATCGTGAAATTTACAATAATTCTATTTTTCGTGCGTTTTTTTAGCACTTCTAATGGGTGGATCTCGTCGGTTTCATGTTAGATCGGGCGTTGACTTGATTTTGACAAAGGCATGATTAGTCTTTCTTTTCTCTTTTTTTCAGCGTTCTATCCATTGAATTGTTTTCTTCAGTTTTCCTTCTATAATTTAATTTTAGGAAGAAGTGATCTTTCATCACTATCCGATTTGTGGCCCTTACGTCTTGGAAGACACTGCTTAATTGGGCGCTTTAGTATTATAAACGGAAATGTTCAGGTTTGACCAAAAAAATGACAGAATATGGGTTAATTATTGACTTATTTGGTGTGAAATTGCTATTTTCGGATACACTACGTTGCCAAGATCATAGTTTGCATTTACTGTCCGGTCTGATGTATTGATCAGTTGTGTATGTACCGAGTGTACTGACATATGGTACATATACTGATGTACTGCTCATACTAATCTTCTGTCAGACCGATATATACAACTCGTACCAAGTGATACGTTTCGGTATGTTAAACTTTGGCCAAGATTAATTGGTTTCTTTTTTGATCTTTGGAGTTTCTTTAAGTGTCCCATTATGGTGATAAAATTCACTAAGATGATGAAAAGTAGCCAAGAAGATAACCGAGATGAGGTTCTGTTTGGGAACTAAAACATCGTAGGCAAAGACATCTTTTTTTGTATAACTTAAAAGTTTCAGTTTTTTACTTTTTCAATTATATAACTGTAGTCTTTGCTTATTAAGAATTCTCTTGTTTGCAGGTGTGGGCACTGTAAGAAGCTTGCCCCTGAATATGAAAAGCTTGGCTCAAGCTTTAAGAAGGCTAAATCTGTTTTGATTGGAAAGGTTAGTCTTATGTTAATTGTCTTGTTAATGAATTTAGGATATTTGTTTGATAATTCATGCTCATGGTTCCATGTTTCTTTATCCCTGACCTTGCTCATTATTTTTGGTCTATGATGTGGCCTGTTAAATGATAATAAGAAAAAACATCCCCTTGACCATACAGGCAGGACGTTTCATGATTAAACTGTTCTAGAACTTGTTACCATGCCTCTGATCTTAATTTAGCTTCCATTTGTTCTATTTAGGTGGACTGCGATGAACACAAGAGTTTATGCAGCAAGTATGGGGTTTCAGGATACCCAACAATTCAGTGGTTTCCCAAAGGTTCCCTTGAACCAAAAAAGTGTGTTTGTATTGCTTTCTTAGTCATACAGCATGACACTTCTACATATGCTTTTCTGGGATATGATACTAATTACCCTAATTACTTGAAATTATGTAGATACGAAGGCCCACGAACTGCAGAAGCACTTGTTGAGTTTGTGAATACCGAAGGAGGTACAGCTTAGATCTGATATTCTGTTAGTATAAATTATAACTCTTAGAGATTGCTCTAGTTCTGGTTTGTTTCAAATACATGCCAACCTTTGCATAGATCATCACTTTCAAAGATCATTACTAGTCTTCGATAACTTGGATTGATTTTTTAAATTATTTTACTTCAGGAACAAATGTGAAGTTGGCGACTGTTCCCTCCAATGTAGTTGTTTTAACTTCGGAGACATTTGACCAAATCGTCCTTGATGAAACAAAAGATGTTCTTGTGGAATTCTATGCACCATGGTTAGTTTAAATTTCAGTGCTCCTCTTTTGTGGATGATAAATTGCATGAGGTAGCTTATCTTATACATTATCAATTGAAGTCAAAATTTTAATATGTCAACAGGTGTGGTCACTGCAAGCATCTTGCTCCTGTGAGTATATTAAATTGAACAAAATTGCTTATGCTGGAGCAGATTGCTTAAATCACATCTGTCATATATGTAGCTTATTAAACCTGGTATGTTTTATTCAATGCAGACTTATGAGAAGGTAGCCAATGCATATAAATTGGAAGAGGAAGTTATCATAGCTAACTTGGATGCTGACAAATACAAGGATTTAGCAGAAAAGTAAGTTTGAAGTATGCAATTAATTCAGTTAATCCAATCCAATATGACATTTCAATCTATGGCATCTGCTTAGAATTAGCAGGAAGTTGCCAGAAACTGTTTAGTCTGTTCATAGTTCAAGACAGTTAGGTTGGAGCTTTCAATGTTTATCATCTGCCCTATCTATATAATTATCATTTCGACCTTATTGTTGAATAAGTTATTTGAGAGCAAGAATATAGTGCCATATTGTGTGCTTCATTCGATTGTTTTTAATCTGATGGCTTCCTGGAACTGATTCTAGGGGATCAAAGGGGAAACATAGGGTGGACTGATTCTTATGGGGTTTCAGGTGTTTTAGACATGTTTCAGCAATAACAGTGGTTATATTCTGAAAATATACCTAGAGATTGGATTCTATTTTGAGGAGCCTTGGGTTGTATCGGGTGTATCAATTCATGTGTGAAAATGCTAGCTGGTTAAGACTTCCCTATCTCTAGTATTTTGATCATAGTTTTAAATTTTTAGTGTAGTTGTTTTGAATTTCGCCCATAATGTTATCTTTATACGAGAACCAGCAATTTCTACTTAAAAGTGAGCATTAAATTTGTTACTGAATTCTGCATTCACCATGTTGTTTTGGTCGCTTTTAGCACATAGTTGATGCTGATGATACTCATTATGAAAAATTATTCATACATTATGTGATGGTACTCATTGTGATCAGTTCTGTTGACAACATGGGCTTGGTTTGGTTCTCCTGGTGTGTCTTTTCCTGTGTCTTTTCCTTCATGCTGCTTATTGTAACCTCTCTTTTTAACATCCATATTTACGTGGATATCCTCTCTTTTTTAACCTCCATATTCATCTTGTGGAAATCTTACACCAAGTTCCGTCAATGCCAGTGGACTACAATAAGTTTTAAGCTTCTGATTATTGAAATGAAATTCTGTGCAGTCTCAACTATGATTAATGTTTTTTTGTGAAAAAATGTTTGTGATGCCTTTGCTAACTGTCATGTTTAAGGTTCTTATGAATTTTTGTGTGATCATTATCAAAATAAGATGTGTATTTTTTTGCTGTATGATCCTTCAATGACTATGACATAATGTTGGATTTTTTAGATTTAGTAAAATTAATAGTTTCCTGACTGATTCTAAATGAAATTTCACCATGTAATGGAAATTATTTAGGCATCTCAGATCTTATATGCAGCAGGACAATAATTTTAATCTTTACCATGTTAAGGCTAAATTGTAATTGGTAACCTGCTGTCTTTCAGATACGGAGTAAGTGGTTATCCTACATTGAAGTTTTTCCCAAAAAGCAACAAAGGTGGTGAAGACTATGAGGGTGGCCGCGATTTAGATGACTTTGTTAAATTTCTGAATGAGAAGTGTGGCACCAGTCGTGATGCGAATGGCCAACTTACTTCACAGGTGTGGGTCATACATTACATAGGATGGAATTTACAAATCTTGTTACAATCTGTTTTAACAAGTGCAGTTTAACTAATGTAGGCTGGCATTGTAGCAAGCTTAGATGCTTTGGTGAAGGAATTTGCGACTGCTTCAAATGATGCACGAAAAGCGATTCTATCTCAGATGGAAGAGGAGGTTGGAAAACTAACAGGTTCTTCTGCAAGGTAATGCAATTTTTCTAGTAATAACTATAGCAGTACTGTTGACTGTGACTTAGAAAATGTGTTGTCAGCTGTTTTCCTTTTGTTCTACGGTAATGCTAGTGTTCTACTTCATTTACTATCTATCTTCTCTATTTCTATTACTAATATACTTATGTTCTATTATTTTGATTAATAAGAAATGACTGTTAACTTTGTCTGCCAATATAGTATTCCATCTGTTGTTTGTGATTGAAGTGGTAAAACATAGCCTTCATGGTTTCTTTTGTATTTCAGAATGTGTTACTTCAGATTTCTTGTATTAACTTTGTTCCATAATATGTTTCTTTCAAGAAACTTACGATGCACATCTGAAGATTATAAACCATCAACTTTACAAATCTGACCTTTTTTACAGCCATTTGCTGCATCTCATAGCTCTTTTGGACTAGTTGATCGCTGCTATGGTAACCATATGTCAAAACAAGATTTCGTCCTTTGTATGGTAGCCACTGAAATGCATTACCAACTTGCTCGAATATTTCTAGTCTCTTTTAACAGTATCTGCTTGTCACATACCCAAACATTCTCCCTTAAGCCTCTTTTCATTCATATGCTTTTGTTGACATTCTGTGATGCTGCACTTATCAGCAATGTCTCCTTTTATGATTACTGTATTTGCATCTTTTACAGTCCATTATTCACCCTCCATTAGCTCCCAAAAAGAAAAGAGAGAGAGAAAGAGAGAGAGAGAGAGAGAGAGAGAGAGAAGTAACAGTGGACAAGCAAACGAGCCCAGCCAACCCACCTAGGACACCATAAAAGATGAAAAGGCTAATACACATGTACTTAAAACATATCAAATGTACAACGATGACAACAATTATTATCGTATGATTTTACCAATATAATACTTTGGCTTCAAGAATTGTGCTGGGATTTAAGGTCCTCCGGTTATATTCTGGTTGTAAAATTCAGGTATGGCAAGACTTACTTGAAGGCTGCAAAAAGCTGTATCGAAAAAGGTGCTGACTATGCTAAGAAGGAAATCGAGAGGCTGCAACGCATGTTGGAAAAGGTGAAAAAAAAAAAGAAATTTGTGTTTTTTGTGATCGAAAGTGAATCTCTTGCATCTAGTCCTTTGAAAATGCTAACATGGATATAATTTATATATTGCAACAGTCGATTAGTGCTTCCAAGGCGGACGAGTTCATCATTAAGAAGAACATCCTGTCTACTTTTGCAGCTTAAGCTGATGGAGGCATCTAAGATTTTTCTGTGTCAACTAGAGGGGATACTTTTACTATGGGGAATAGGGTTCTTCATGTTACAGACTCCACTTGTTAATGAACTTATCTTTTTGACTTAGCGTCCGATCTTGTTATTGATATCATTACAATTCAACTGATCTTGTTTGTCATGGTTGAACTGTTACTCAAATGACCTGTTTTTAGAACAACAGAAAAAAAAAAAGTTGGGAAGCAATGCTTCTGTTGTCTTGGTAGCTCACATAGCTGGAACTCTGTCCTCGGATCCCTTAATTCAAGGCACAGCCTGATATCAGTTTGTAAAGCATGATTTGATTGTTCTATATATATCCAGCTCATGGGAAAACACAAAAACAAATAGAGTTTGATATCCAGTCATGCCCACAACGGTTTGGAAGCCTGAGAGGCTATTCATTCACATCGGCACGATCTTAAATGTTCTCTGATTCAACACATTTCCGTCGATCATTAATTGCTCCGCACAATCTTAAATGTTCTTTGATTCAACTATATGATAAGAGCGAAAACGTTTCTTTGTTCCGTCATCTTTAATTGCTCCCTTTAGCTGACGCCTCGAAGAAGCATCTCATTGTACTGCAGCAACGACATCTGCCGTTGCAGCTGCATCTGCTGATGGAACCTCTTTATGAACTCCTCCGCCTTGGTGTCGATGCCTTCCTGCTCTCGACCGCACGCAGCCTCTTCTTCCTCGTCGCCATTGCCGCTCGTCTCCTGCCGCGCGAAGTAGCTCGCCATGTTGCTATCCTCGTCGTCGCCGTCGTCGGCCTGCGGAGTGATGCACAGGAAGCGAGGCCGGCGCATCCTGAACTTGAAGGTGGGAGTCTCGTCGAACGACAGCTCCCGCTCCCCATGGCGGAGCTGCATCTTGTAGGGCGTCTCGGCTTCCCCAAGCCTCTTAAGACGGCTAACGAGGTCGGCCGTCAGCCTCCGCGTCAAGGCACCGCCCTCGGCGGTCCACATCAGGGCCATCCGCAGCAGGTTCCACGCACGCCGAGCCAAGCAGGCTTTCTTCTTCCCCATGGCAGAAGCAAGAGATGGACGAGAAGTGATCAGGGGGTTGGAGTATATAGGCAGCAAGTTGTTGGAATGATGAGCTGGTTCTTGTAGAGGCCGTGGACTATGTGGGGGCGGCGGGAGCCTCCACGGTTTACCGCAAGGAACGCGGTTGTGCTTCACATGGGGTTGCGTGGACTGTTTTGGCCTCGTAGCATAAGGACATTAAAATGAGCTGTGTGTTAGTTACGCGAGTGTGCTTGGTAATTGATTGGTTGGCATCCACTAGATTAAATGGGGTCTTGGAAGAACTCCATGGCTATCATTATTTATATCACATGCAACGTAAATGATCAATCTCAAACGACTCCATCATTGGTCAGTGTGTTACTATATAAATGATGTTTGAATCTACGTTGTAAACATCATGTACATCATTTGATTAATAAAATTTTAAAAATATTTTTTTTTTATTTTTTTTTTAAAAATCTATGGTTAATAAATATTAAAGAATAACTTTAGCAAACCAACATGAGATATACATCTCTCTCAAAGCGTAAAAGTGTTCTTTGACAGTGCTGTTGAGCTTCCCCTCTTTTATATTTATTATATATATATATATATATATATATATATATAAGAGAGAGAGAGAGATGGAGGAGACCCATTAAAACTGAGGCAGCATTCCCAGAATTAAACTCTCAACCGTGACCACACGTCCCACCTATTCCTCTGCCACCTACAGCGACAGTTGCCATCGCCTCCACCGTCCACAACCAATAAAATAGGACTCGTTGACGTCAGCATTCCAAGTTTGACCCCCTCCCCCACGCATATTTACCACCTCCACCTGCAATCACTCCATGAGAAATAGACATCAAGAAGAGCCCATTTCTGTCATTTTGACAAGATAAACAACTAGAAACCACAAATAGGTTCCTCCAACCCAACCGCCATGGCAGATATAAACTTGCGTCTGCTCTCGCCGTAGCCTTTAGAGCTAAAAGAACACAAGCCCCCCTCCTCTCCCTTGTTGGTTCTTCCTTCATGGAGGAGGGGGTACCGGTGAAAGATGTCACCATCATGGCCCAAACTCCCCGCCACACGCTGCCGGCGAAGAAGCGGAGCACCCTGAGCATCTTCCGTGCCGCTATCGTCGCGCTCAGCGGCTGCTCCGCCAGCAAGAAGGATGCTACCCTGGGTTCCCCGACGGGCGCCGACGGGATGCTGAAGACCCTCGTGGGCAGCATGCGCCCTCTCGGTCTCCCGCTCGAGTACCGCCCTCCGCTTCCTCTGCTACCGCCGCCGCCGCCCGCCGGGCACGAGTCCTTTCACGATGCGTACCTTCTGCCCTCGCCCTCGTGCTCCTCCAGCGACGGCATGAGCCGCTACGCGTCCGCGGAGGATCTCCAGTTGCTGGACGATGCCGACGACAGCACCGAGGCGGACGCCGGGGCTCCGAACGCGATCGACATGAAGGCCGAGGAGTTCATCGCCCGGTTCTACGAGCAGATGAGGCTTCAGCGTCAGGAGTCCTCCGGTGGCAGCAACCAGGCCGCGGCCTAACTCTACTTCCGAGCGGCGCGCTGTGTTATGTGATTGCGTGAGAGCCCATTCCTGAGAGAGCAAAATGGTTGGTTGTGTCACGTCTCTTATTCGCTCGACTTGAAATCATTCCAAACAAAAGCAATGAATTGGCTATTTCATTAAGAGCTCGTCATAATGACATCCGACCAACTTTCTATCTTATGGAACATGAATTATCTTATATGATTATAAATATATATTTTTTTCCTATAATTATACTATACGATTCTTATATATTTTCTATATCGAATGTAGCATAAATGTCCTAGAAAAATATAAAAAAACATTATTAAGGTAATTGAGTCAAATGGGAGCATCCAGATCAACACTAGACCATCAAATTATCCATCAATCGAGTTAGAAGTTGGGTCTAATAACACTGAATAAGGTGGAATTATGAGCTTCCATTTCCATGGAGCAAAAAATATCCAACAAGAACAAGATGAATTTTATACATGAGGATCGTATAGAGATCATTAGGTCATTGTTATGACTCAACTTCTAAGAAATGGTTGATGCAAATCTGAGTTTTAGAATGTACTTCAATAGTGTAGAACAGATGTGTGTTTGCTCTTCGAGAAACACATGCATGTGGTAGTAATCGAGAATGATGCCAAGGTGAAGACCAGTGACCTAAATAGTTTGTCACTGAATCTCATCTTCAACATTTATCTTAAGAGAGAGAGAGAGAGGGGGGGGATGATGCCAAGGTTGGGTGCTGTGTGGGTGTAAGAGAAAAGCTGGAAACAATCATTATGATGTTATGATTGCTAGTACCTGGGAGCACCATTATAGAAAAAAGGATGCATTCATGGAACTTGCTTCGAGAGGTTGGAAGAACAAGTACTATTTCTTCCTCTTCATAAAAAAGAAGATCTTCAAGAAATATGATTATAGGTAATTATAGCTTTAAGAAAAGAAGAGGTTTTTCTGTTACTGTATCCACATAAAACCAGGCACTGAGCTGCCATTAATAAGATGAATATTCTTAGCTGCATGACAAGATCTTAGGTTTAACCAAACAAGAAGATACACTTAGGAAGCTTGCATTTTCTCATGTATAAACTTGCTGCAATGTCCTTGATTGTAATCATACTGCATCATTAGGAAGCTTGCATTATTAAGAATTTTAGGTCACCTTCATCAGTAAATATGATGTCGGAAGCACACACACCCTGTCAACTCCTTTGCTGGAATCCATTGTCTAAAGCTGCTACATGAGTTGCCAGCATAATGTGAGCAACACAAGAAAGAATCAAAAAGAGGAGACAACCGCAGCCATAGATGAACTGCTGTGCAGACCACCTTATTTTATATTGATATCAAGAAGCCATTTGGCACACATAAGCCATCTCATTCCATGGCCACTACAATCTCCTTCCTGAATTCCAGTACACAGGATAGAATATACAAACTACTGATGATGATTGAACAAAGCAACAGCCAATGACAGCACAATCAAACATCTGAATTCCAACTACTACCAAAAATTTTTTCTTACAGACACTGAATGAAGAAATCTAGCTGTACAAACAAGCACATTGGACGGGTGATGGAGGGAGGGGGTACCGAAACTTTGAATTTCTCGGGATTTATTGGAAAGAATTGGCAAAGACAATGATGAGCTGAAGGAGAATAAACAAATGATAATTGCATGCAAAAATATCTTATTGGAAATCCACAAGAGCATTGAAGTTTTCGAGGGAAAAGCAGGAGAGAGAAGAATTCGAACTCAGATCAGAGCATGGTTGTGGAACGACTGATTCAGAGAATCCAGAAACATTGGAACAAATCCAAGAATTGGAAGCACCTGAGGTGACAGACAAACTGATGTTTGCAAGGCAGATGGCACTGAAGGGACCATGATCCATTCCTGAAAGAGATCCAGCGATCGAGATGTTGGTGCCGACCACATCTTTTATGGTGATCTGCTTGATCATCGGGAGAGCATCTGGATCATATTGGTCATCAGGATGTGCACCACAGTGGCCCGTGATTTGAAATGCTTCGTGAACATTTTCCATTTCCACATCTGATATGATAATATCTTCGATGTAGCCACCTCGTCCACGGGTGGTCTTGAATTTTATACCAGTGAAAGAATCATGGATATGGAGTTGCTCGACTTGTATGTCTGAGATCCCGCCCGACATCTCACTGCCGAAAGCAAGTGCTGAACCGAGGGACGTCTGCAGATGGACATTGTTGATGTGAATGTTTGAGGAAGGTCTGTTGAAAGAGATACCATAGTTGTCCCAACCACTCTTCAGAGCAATGGCATCATGTCCAACACTGATGCTGCAATCTAGGATGCAGCAATTCGAGCATGAATCTGAAGCAAGCAGGTAAGATAGATGCAGGATCAGTTTGCAGCTTGTAGCAGTATAGTAGCAGACCTTTACAATCCAAAAGAACGATTCAAGGGCATATGCATGTAGCAAGTTCAGAGTATAGTCAGAGATGAAATATCATTGTGGGCATAGATACCGGAATTTAGACCGACCGACCGACAATGCTCTATAAATTCTATGTTCTTCAAAATGAAACAACGGTATAGTGTATAATATCTTATCTTAGAACTTCACTCATGATACAGGAAAATTGACTGGACAACATGTACAAAGATATAGGAAGAGGCGAAAAATCAGATTCTAGGAAATGAACTTTTTTCGGAAAGATTAATATTTGAGCAGAGCATCTACTGCACGGTAGTTTGCAGTCTATGTTGGATGAGTCACATTAGGTAGAATAAAGTCACATTAGTCGCGTTCCGATTTGATAACAGTAGCTGCTCACTCGCAAGGTGATATTGCCTTGAGCTTTAGAATTATAAGGGTATTACAGATCATACACCAAAGCAAATCATGCACTGTTTCAGCCATTGTCATATCAGTAAACATGCAATTCAAAGTCTACTTTCCCATATATTTGTGTCATTATAATGGACCAAGACCAAGATGATGAATTTTTGCTGTAGAGCAGCGCAGATAAAAAATGTAGAACACCATAGCATGACTTGAATAAAAAAAATAGTAACATATCAATCATTACATATGAACTTGAAAATAAATCTTGTAGATGTTTTGTACATTACAAGCATAGATACAAAAAGGAAGAAAATCATCAAAATATAGCTTCATGTATGCTGAAATTTGAGTTTCCTTACCTGGTACTATACCATTAGTATATGAAGAAGCAGATGAACAATGGATTTTGACGTTCTGGATCTCCACATTGCTGCATGCATCACAGACAGAAGAAAGTTATTTGTAGTTGTGTTCAAAGTTTCTTGACAAAATCAAATGAATAATAAACAACTAGTTTTAGAACATACCTAGAATAGACTGGATGGATACTCCAGGCAGGGGGATTCAAGAAAGTTAAATTTGAGATCACAATGTCACTGGAACTCACAAGTTCAAGAAGATGAGGACGACTGTAATTCAAGGTCTGGGAGTGGAACCACTCCCACCAGACAGAACCCTGTCCATCAATAGTCCCATTGTCACCTGTTCCACAAATCAAATTGAGCAGAGCATGCAAAGAAGCCAAGGCTACACAACTCATAAAAAAAGGAACAACAGCATCGGTCTACCAAAATCGGAAAGAAACATGCCTGTTATCACTATGTCCGTCAAGTTGTATCCATTTATCAAGCTGCAATGCCTCGGACCAGGAAGGTCTATCCCTTGTCCATAAGACGGCAAAGGCTCAACAACAGGCCAGTGAGATGCATCCTAAAATGAACATAAGACAGAGAAATTTTGATTTTAATGTAGCAAATAGTACACTACTTTGCATGATATAGCTGGAAATTTTTCTTAGAAAGCTAAGAAAGTACAGGCATAAAGTTAGCAATGTTGACAAGAAGCAAATTATGATGGGGGATTGATCGTTCACAATCAGAAATGAAGGATGCACATGAACGAAGATATAGATGTTTATGCAACACGGCTAAGACCTGACTGCCAATTATAACAGCATCTTTGTCCAGGAACAAGGTGAGGTGACTGGTTAGGTTGAAACTTCCTGTCAGCCATCTCCCTTTAGGAACATACAGCTGAGCACCACCCTTGTCTGCAAATGATCGCAAATAGAAAACTGCATTCTGAAAGGCCAGAGTGTTGGAGGTCACTCCATCTCCCACTGCCCCAAACTCTGTAATGGTGACACTGTGTGGTCTTGGCGTTGGACCGCGCTTGTGATTGCAATAGCCATCACCACCCCTTCCATTGCCTTGGACGACAACTGCAATTGCCAGAAGTAAAAGTACTACTTCCTGCAGAAAGACAAGCAGTATTATAAAACCACAAAATTAGCACCAGAAAGTGGGCACTTGTTCTTCCCTGAGCCCCTAAACCATCAAGTAATTTCAACAATCATTCTGAGGCCAAAGTATAATCAGGTGAAGTTATGCTATCTCATGACAATCAGATGGATTACTATGAAGGGAAGCCCATCTGACAATGAATCGAGGACAATCCAATTGGTACATTGGTGGTATGCATTACAAAATCTCCGCCGCTGGATTTACTGCAGATAAAAAGCAAAATCTCGTTGACTGATGTCAGTAGATGCAAGTATCGAAGACACAGGCCATAGTTCATGTCACACTTGTCCAATTCGTCAAACACACATCCGATTCCCATTTTTCCGAATCACATGATGCGAAACTAGCGATGCCCAGCAAATAGAAAACCAGGTAAAAGGCCCAAATGATCAAAATGGCTTCTTCTTAACTGAAACAATGGAGAGAAGCACAAGTGGAGGAACCAAATCAAAGTTCAAGCGATCGCTTCAAAGAAAAGCATCTTAAGAAAACACTTGAATCGTGTTCGATCCAAAAACACCCGGATCACCGCACCATCGAACAACCGAGGAACGCATAGTAAACGACACCAAGCAAGAAAGATCACATCTTCGCATAAGTCCAATAACCATACCCTCCTTACAGACAAGCAAATGCGTTCCTTCAACAAAGACAAAGGGAAACAGAAGAAGAAGGAAGGAAAAAAGAAAAAGGGAAAAACGTACTTACGAGCCTCTTCATGAGACCCATGTGGGTTGCCAGGGGATGTCTCTACGAGACAGAGAAGGCGAAGACGAAGCAGGAAGAGGAAGAAGGGGCAGAAAAACGATGGAGGAAGAGGCAAGAAGAAGAAGAAGAAGAAGAAGAAGAAGAAGAAGAAGAAGAAGAAGAAGAGGAAACCAAGCGGGCACAAAGACCACAAGCTCCCCTGTTTACGCCGGGAGTACACAATACTATTTTAAGTTACTGTATATGACCAAGTTAATCTTTTTAATCACCCAGATGCAGACCCACCGCCGGCTTCTCCCGAGAGTACATGTGATCATCTGGTGACGAGAACCAACGAGGAGCAGAGGGTGGCTTCTGGGTTGGGCTCCTTAAATCGCCTTCCAACTTCTTGCCTTGGATGCTCAGACAATTCAGTCCGAAGAAGAAGAGGAAGAAGTAAAGAAAGAGGAAGAGGACATTTAAATTAAACCATGCCAAGAAGCAAAATAATCTTCTAATAAATATTTGCCTCCTAATCATCAAGTGTGGGCATTTCTTTAGGTGACAGCTCGAGGATCAAGCTGACACACATTACTACCTACATTGTGTGTGTAAGAGACAATACATGGCGAGGACAGCTTGTATTCGATCGAGGGACCTACTCTTCCTTTCTTGCTTCAAGATCCAGTCAATATAATATCAAATGTATACAGATATGAATATATGATCGTCCGCTGCGATGAATTAGAAATAGGAAGATGAGAAAATAAGAAGAACCAATCGTAGATTGTGGGAAGATTGAGATGGATGAAGTTTTCGGGGAAATTCCTGTGCTTTTCAACATGGAAAATGTTATATATGCAATCCTAAAAGCCACCGATTAACACTACAGAGAGAGAGAGAGAGACAGAGAGAGAGGCTGTGGGGTAGAGAGATTATGCATGGGTCTGCGCGACCCATGTGGGATGCCAGGGGAGGTGGCGGGGTCGCGCCTTCAATCATGGCCGCCAATGCTAGCCTGGCTTCACTCACCCGCCATCGACGACGGCGGCAGCAGCATCTGCTTCTTCTCCTCCTCCTCCTACCCATCACATGCTTCTCTCTCTCTCTCTCTCGTCTTTATTCCTAATCACTTACGGCAGCTCGGCGACGACGACGAACACGTGGGACCCGGCGGTGGGCTCCCTGCGGTGGGAGGTAAGGTCTGGCCGTCCACACATGGATCGAGCTAGGTTGGGTTCGATCAAGATCGGGTCCTGTGATGCGTAGCCTTTCCGTCTTCCAACAAAGCGCTCCCGATCAGACGGTATCATCCAATAGTTGTTCTTCATGACGATCCATGTGTGGACGGCCATGATGCTTCATCGGATTTCCGCGGGAAAACCATTGGACTCCCACGAAGACAGACGCACATGAAGGAACGGGATGAGCAAAAGCCCATGCCGGCTATAGGACGCGATGGGTGCTCCGATACCGTCTTCTTTCTCCGAGAACGTTCGTTCCTGCTTCGGTTGGCGGTCAGCGCTCCTCCGGCAGTGGAGAAGGCCATGGTGCCTCTACCTCCTGACCATGGAGATCCAGAACTCCCAACGACGTAGGGGAGAGGAATCATAAGAAGGGAAGTGATAATACTCCAGAGGACTCGGGTCATGGAAATCGGACGAAGCATCGGAACCAGAATTGCTAGAATTTCTCCTCAATTAATTTGGGTCTGATTAATTCGAGTTTTAATGGTCGTCAATTGACGTGATGTAATAACAGATATGATATTGCTAGAATTTCTATTCAATTAATTGGATTTTTATTCGTAAGTTTTGATATTATTAATTAATCTTAAAAATATATATTATTATTTTTAAATAAATTAATTAATTAAGAAAATATAAAAATTTTGTGAGTTTCTTACTCGTTCTATTTAAATGGGAAATGAAGTAAGGATGAGAGGTGAAAAGGGACTGGAGGTAAGGACGGGGAGGGCACTCCTCATCCGTCTTGCTCCATTGATATCCTTACTCCTCGAGCAAAAAATCAAAAATTACTATAATATCTGATGCTCGATTGATCCTTAGACGTCTCAAAAATATCTAGGGAAAACCTACTTGCCTGCAACCTTTCATAGGGAATTAAGTATTTCTCTACTCGGTATTATGCATCAATTAGCATTTTAATGTTATGTTAAGTCATTCATAGATATACATATAAATATATCTATCATATAAGGTGCGATGATGTTGTGTCGAGTCGATGGATAGTAGGATCAATATACATATAAATGTATCTATCATATAAGGCAAGACGTGGTATCACCATAAGAGTCAGTTAGAGTAAGAAGAGGGTTACCATGGAAAAATCAGGTTTGATAAGTATTATATTTTATTATTTTAATTTATTCAATTTTAATGATTTTTTTTTTTTTTTTTGCACATGAACCTCCAAAAAAAAGTAACAATGCATAGTTATGTTTGTATCATCTAAATGAATATAGATCATTGACAAACTATTTATTAATCAAAGATCCAGTGGGACAAAGAAAGAAATGGAGCAAGTTGCAGCTTGTTATTTGTGTCACAATAGGCTACAAGTTGTGGATGTATCTGTAATACATCTCAATACTATTGTTCTATTGACTAAGAATTCATAATATATGTTATGTATTTTGACATTGCTCCAATTACATGTCATTAAATTGTTCTAGGATCAATTTATTTGTATTTCAATATATTAGTTTATTTGTATTTCAGATAAATCATGAAGAGGAAATATAGAAAGATGCTTCGTTTTTAAAATGTAAAGTGTATCTGTTATCATAAATTGTATACCAAGACATACCTATCTAAGACTTGCTAAACTCAATCAGGTAAGCCTCACGATACCACCAAATTTATACCAATGAAATAATTTATGAGTCAATGGAAATTAAATATATTGCTCAATTTGTTTCTGATATACTTTGTTGGTGAACAAATGTATCGTGGCTGGTGAGTCAGCACGGCTTGGTTCACGAGCCGATGTTGGGAATCTTCAACCGATGAGCTGGTTATCGAAGTCGGTCACGCTCTTGGGACGGGGGCGCTGGTAGTCGTGCACTGGCATCTCTCAGTCGAGATGACGATGGTAGCCCGGTGACCTCCGCTTTCACAGAATACCCTCGTCGGTTGGTTACCGACGTTGGCCCCTCCGATGATCAAGTCAATGCTTGGGTGGGGGGGGGGGGGTGTTTATTTTTACCTCTCCTTGGCCAGATGCCATCCAAGAGTTTTTATACCATTGCATGAGGGTCGGTCGTACGTAGGCTTGGCATGCCAGTCGATCCTCGAGGGGCGCATTGGTACCTTTGTGCGGTCGCAGCCTCGGAACGCGCGGGACGACGTCAGGCGACTGTCGTACGAAGGTGTGGTGTGCCAGCCAATTCTTGAGGGGCATCTCGAGGAACGCCTCCGTACGGATTCCGGCTTAACGCGTGGAAAGAGTATGCGTCGGTGGTAACGTGGCTGATGATGTGGTGATGACATGGCTGGGACCCAAAATATACCTTGGGTCCATGAATCTAAATAAGATTCATTATTTTCCAAATTATGGTTCCATGAATCATATCCCATAGATCATACCTCAAATATACTCAATGAATAGTTGCTAATTATTATTGGAGCAAATGTCATGATAACATAAAAGTTCTATTTGATGGCTTCGAAAATTCTTTTTAGTGTTTGATTCTTCGATCATAGTGATGACAATTTCTTTTTACCTATCACTCCTGATGAAATTAGAAAGTCATACCTTCAAATGGTTAAGAAATAGCACTCTAAAGAACAAGAAAACATGTTATATATAAAGAAAATAAAAAGGGAAGGATGTCTTGTTCATGTTTCATAGTTCGACTGAGCAAGCCAAGCCACAAGAAGCACAGTCAGTGATCATGTGTCCAAAGCATCTCTCTCTCTCTCTCTCTCTCTCTCTCTCTCTCTTATTGCTTTTGATACTAACAAGACGTTTTTAATCTCCAATACAAACACCCATCAGAGGTGCACTTCGCAAGATACCCATGCTCTCGTCCGCATGGTACGTTACAGTCACTAGCGTTCTTGCATGGTGCCCCAATCGGTATGCAGCCTTCACCAATCTCTTTCACTGGAGTCTCTGCAAGTAAACACAAGATTGAAGCAGCAATAAGAAGCTAGAGAAATGGGATTAGTGTTTTAAATTGAATTCAAAGCATGAGGGGGACACAAAACATATGTAGGTGGTAGATGATCTTGACACGATGTACCTGTAGATCTCACGAGCATCACAAGAGAGAGAACAAGGAGGCCGACGGTGATGACAGAGAATTTGGAAACCATCTCTTCTAGTGAACCTGATGAAAAAAAAAGTTGGAAGTTGAAGCTTGACAACTATACTATCATTGTGAACATTTGGAAGTAGCACTGACCTAAGAATTTCCAAAGTCTTCAGTAATGATGGTGTTTGTCAAAGAAAAAAGCCATTAAATAGACCCTTATGATATCAAGAATGACGTGATGCAAAACGTATGTAGGTGACATACGTATATACCAAGACTTCACAAGCAAGCACGAAGAGAGAGAAGAAGGAGACTAACAGTGATGACAGAGAACTTAGAAGTCATCTTCTAGTAAACCTGATGATAAAAAATGTTCAGATTAGAAGCTTGAGAATTATAATGTCATTATAAACATTTGGAAGACGAATTTTCCAAGTCATTTTTTTTTTGTGAGTGATGGTGTCGAAAAAAAAGGTAATAAAAGAGGTAGACGTCAATGGTAATTATACAAGACACACTACTAAGTCCCTTCCTGACCAACAGTACTATACGGACAATGTTATATATACAATGCTAAAAGTCTCTTCTTATTAACACGAGAGAGGGGTGGTGGGGCCCGTCCCCCTCAATCATTCTATGCTAGCTTAGGCGGTAGCAATATCATCGATCTTCTCTCTCTCTAGTCAAGTGAGATTGGACCATCCGCACATCGATCATTGATCGAGCTTAGTCGGTTGGGTTCAAATAAAGTCCGAACCTTGATGTCGAATCGTAACTTATTAACCGACGATTCGATAGGATGATAGTGATGGGATATAAAGAGAAATAATTTTTATATATGAACAAATACTAGCAGCCATAACATGTAGCGGAATTAAATGGAATCACAATCAAATAGAATATCAAGATATGTGTGGAAAACCCCTTCAATATGAAGGGTAAAAACCATGGGACAAACTAGAGATAATATACTATAATAATAATGAATATACAAATCTCAATCTCTTGCCTAAAAATTCTAGCAATAATCACAATAGAATAATTGGGATACAAGGATCACATCACTATGCACAATATCTAAATTCTCCCTAATTCTCCCCAAGTAATCATAGTAAGAATCTACTATAGATTTGATTTAACCTGAGATGAGAATACTGCTAAATGATTGAGAATAGTCTCTCTGCATTGTCCTTGTTTTCTTCCCTTTCTTTCTCCTTCGATTTCTGTCTTTTTCTCCTCTTTTTGCTGCTGCCAAGATCTCCTCGTTGCTGCCCTATTTATGCTTTTTTTTGCGGTCAC